CCTGCTGAAGCACACAGAGCCCAGGCTGTGGGCAGAGGCTTGCCTTGACAGTGATGCCATGTGGTCCTCTGTAGGTGTCTGATGCATAAGCAGTGCACGCAGAGGTGTGAGTTACAGAGGACACAGCCAAGGCACAGCAAGCAGATGCACGGGGTGGGATGAGTAGCAGGCTGTTGCTATGGAGTATCTTGCACTCACAGCATCATCATTTCCTGGTTATTAAATTTACACTGTTGCCAGAATTAATGTGGATGAGCCCGGGTCTAGCAACTGTTACTTCCTGAGCACCAGCAAAAACCTTGAGTAGAAAATGGTGCAGGTTACAGCAAGTTTGTCTGGGGTGCCTTTTCCCAAGTAGCTTTAACCAGGAGTGTGTCTCTTGTTTACTGTAAGCCGCATGAATGCTGGTGCGAGTGGCGTGGGAGTTGCAGGCAGGGTTGTGTTTGTCAGCGGTAGGACTGGCTTATGCCAGATCAAAGTCATTGGGAAATTAGGATCTGAATTGCGCTGCCAGGGTGTGTTACCTGCTGGCATTGACTTCACAGTCTCTTCTGTGGGTGGATTTTTGTATTACTTATTGAGGTAGGCCTGAAGGTCGTGGCAGACTGAGGTCCATTTTGGTGGAAGTTGTGCAGAAACAGGTAATGGGCATCTCTGCCCATGGAGCTTATGATCCCAAAGACAGGGTGAAGAAGATTGTTTTGGCTGATAATTGCTTAATGGTCTGAGTCTGATTGAAGAGAAGAAAACCCCTGTTTATCTGATGTGAAGAGTTTCATTGCAGGAAATTTTGAAAGCAAGCGTCAAAGGAAGCCCACCAAAAAGCTCTTGGAATCCAATGATTTGGACACTGCCTTTATGCCAAAGAAGGAGGAGTGGACTCCCCCAAAGAAGGTACGCTCCTTCCAGCTCTTTTGAAAACCAGATAGAAACCGAGCCTAGACAGCAGACCGTGCTGAATGAGACACAGTGAAATGGGCTGTGGTTTTTGTTGGCTGTGGCCCAGGAGCAAAGGTCCGCCCTTCCCAAAGGTGCTGGTTGCTGTGCTGTGATGAAGAAATCTGCTCAGTACAGATGTGTTCCCCACCCTTCCCCACTTACAATGGGGATTGGGTAGTTTTGGCTGTAAAATCTCCTCACTTCATTGATTTTTATGGAAAAGGAGTCATCTGGATGCTGGCTGGGAAGGTGTGAGCAGAAATGTTCACAGAGCCTTTCTGTCACTGTTACATTGCAGTGTGGCTTGAGTTTGAACCTAAGGCTTTGTCCTTTTTGCCAGATTTTGTCTGAGCAGTGTTTGTTACCTTCCCAAGTGAGCTAGTGAGTGGTACGTAAGTGCAGAGCTTGTAGCAGGACAGAAGCTTGAGTTGTATCACGTGTGTATCACTACGTACAGTGCTTGGTGCAGATTTCTAAAGAAAATGCTGCTCTCCTCTGCTTAATACTCGATATTCAGTGACATGATGTGGAAGAAAACAGCTTGTAAAGAATTATTTCAGGTGGTGTACCTGCACAAGGCTTGTTGCCACTGTTTCTAAGGTTGATTAATAACAGTTTTCTTCCTTTCATTTTTCTCTCTCTCTCTCTGTGGCATAGTCTTAATACAGTTATCATGGTTGCAGTAATGCAGAGGTCAGTGTATTTCAGTCTTAAACTCCATAGAAGTGTAAAGCCAGAGGAGTCTCTATTCCCAGCAGCTTACAGGGTGTTAGCAGCCTTTTTGGGAGAGCTCAGGAAGCAGCGGATGATGCTGGTGAGCACCAGACACGGCAGACTCCGCATTCCTCTGTGCTCAGAGACTGACTTTTCCATATGGGACCTATCACACACACAGAACAAGTATTTTCTTGTAGAGTCTCTAATCACTGATGAATTCATGACCTGAACTGTAAGTTACATGTTGCAGTAATTTGTAAAGGCTGAGTGGCAGAGGAATGTGCATCTCTGATTTGCGTCTGGTGACTTGGCTCCATTGTGTATTTGTAGGGCACTGGCCCTTTGGAGAGCGACAGCTCTGAGCTGTACTCACTAGCCCACTTCTCGGACCTGGGAGAAGGTAAGTGAAGACCGGGCTGTGGGGGTAGCCTGTTGGTGACATTTGGATCAGTGCCTGTGGCTCTGTGTGTGTGTGTGTGTGTGTGTGTGTGTTTAAGGGCTGACCTGTCCTGGGCTCTCAGAGGGTCTTGCCTCAGCTGAGGCAGTGGCAGAAGAAATAGGTTCCGAGATAACAGTACCTCGGGTAAACTGTGTCTTTGATTTCCCGATGGAAAGTGGAGATGATGGGTTCATCTTTCTGTGAGAAGATGTTCACTTCTCAGCACAGGTCCTGTACCAGTAGGCTGTTTTTCGCCTGGTGACATGCTGTAACCAGGCTCGATGGTGGCTGCCTGTCCCATGGGCGGTTGTGCAGTTGCTCAATCATTGTACTCCCTCCCCATCTGCCTTTTTATCACTTTAGTATCAATAGAAGAAAGTTTTTGTTGCAGTGTGGTGGAAGGAGGTGTTTATCAGCATTTGATTAACAATGTAAGCTTTGTGTTAGGAGCATTTCTTTTCTGCTGGGGGGCTGTCTCCTGAAAGTCAGTGTTACTCAGCTCCCTAGCAGAAGAAGCTTAAATCAGTGTGAACCAGTGGTCCTCTGATGGTTGCAGGACAGAGGGCAGACAGCCTGGAGGCTGGTATTGCCCCAGCCCTTATGCCCTCGAAGACAGTAGAACCCAACGTGGAGTTCTTGGAAAGGGTGTTAAACTCGCTGGTGACACCTGTAGCAAGGGAATTATTTCTGCATTTTCTTTGAGTGCTCTTTCTGTTGTATCCCAGCTTCTGAAAAGGTCTTGGAGAAGCAGCGGAAGCGAAAGAGACAGCGCCATTCCTCTGCTGCAATGCATTCCAAGAAGGAGAAAAATGAGGAGGTGGTGGGGGACACTCCACACTCTGAGGTACTGTTGGGTCCCTCTGCATGCTGTCATCCCTGTAACCTGTCAGCTACTTTCTGGGGCACTTTGCAGAGCCAAAGCCAGGTCACCTTTGGCTGGCTGTCATGGCATTTGGAAGTTTGTTCCACCGATGTAGTTGCATGAGCTGGGGTTGAAGCTAAAGATACCACCTTGATTTAGTAGCTATTTTGTGATAACTACTTAATTTGGGCTGTTTTTAAGCTGTTACTCAGCTGATTCTCCAGGAGAGAGGCTGTTCTCATCTGATGGAACCAGGTTTTTGCCTGGCATCTTGCTTTGCACCTCAGAAGGTCTTAACTGCTGTAAAAGGTCTTCTCTGGTGGTAGTGGGAATCTTGCCCTTTTACACCCCAGTATGAAGAGGCATTAGACTGTGGACTTCGACCCCTTCTTCCACTTGCCCCTGCACTCCAGGGTGAGCTGAGAACTGTTGAAGGGGATGGGGGGGAACTGTCTGTGGCTGCTCACAAGAGCCTCTGATTACATTCTGCCACCCAGCAGAAATAACTGGGGCAAGTCCCTTCTACTGCATCCCAGAAGAGCTAGTGTTCAAATATTTCTGACCAGCGCATTTTGCCTTTTAGGAATGAGCCAGGTATCACCAAGTGTAGGGGAAGCAAGACTTTTCCTGGGAGAGGCAGGACACCTCTGGGCCTCTCACCATCGCCTCTCACTTC